CGAATATATATTTGCGGGTGAGGGTGGTTAGAGAGGATGCAGAGCCCCCCTCAAACATTTTACTAAACAATTTTTACGTTTTTCTCCTGCCAGTTTTCCCTGATAATAATTCCTTCCTTTCAAAATCTTCGGGCTCGCTGAATAATATACTCCTCGGATGGCTAAATCATTGTATTGACCTAAAACAACATCAATAATTGTACAGCATTGCCCTAAAAAAGCAATAATTGTATAGAATAGGGAGGTGAGAGATTGAGGACTACCGAAGTTTGTAGAACTTGTGTTCATAAATTCCTTCGACATAAATTGTTAATATGTTCAAAACAAACAAAGGAGACGGTGGTTAATCATTTCATGAATTTAGAATAAGCCACGGTTGACTATTTGTGCTTAATCTGAAGAGAAATAATGGGACTTTACCCTCTGACAGCGACATCAGTGATACAGTGTATATAGAAAATATAACGTCACTGAGAGAAAAACTGATATGGCGTTCCATAGGGATTTTACTGCAAGAGGGGCTTCTAACTAATCATTTTCATAATAAAAGGTCTTGCTTTTGTGGAATTCAGAAATCAACAACTATTAAAACTAGTGTAGGCCTGCATATTTTTAACTATTTCCCTATGGAAGTCTAATTTTAAAAAAAATTTTAAAGGTGTAGACCTATGATGGATTATAGAGGCTAATAAACTGTAGCCTCTTCATGTTGAAACGTTATTGTGTCAAAAAGTATAAAATGATATCCTGCCGTGGCTTATTTTCCTTTCCCCTTATTAAATTTTTAGTAATATTATGTAGGAAACTTGTCAAAAAATATTACTCTTCGAACTTTTGGCAAAATAATTCTTATCTATGATGCACCTTAGTAGAAAATGACGTCAACAGCGAGTAGTATGGTGCGGCATACCAAATATAAAATGAAAGTCATATTTCATAATTTTTGAAGTCGAATTCTATGAAAACTACTCGTCCGATTTTTTCCGATTTTTTTTATGGAGTTATATTATGCTATAAGAAGAAACACTACTATAAGAAAAATTCTGTTGCAATTAGTTTGAGGTCAAATTTATATTGACTGGACTATAATCAATCCCTACACTGTAAAGTCTCTTAGAGATGTATGATAAGAAATGGAAATTAGATAATTGAAATTTGTGTCAATCTGTTAATCAAGGCTACCTGATTTTCTTTCATCTTAACCAATTCATGATTATTGAATAATACAGTAGAGATCCGTTATTACGATGTTCACTTTGTCACGGTAAAATATTGTAATACCGAGGGCAACGTAATAAAAGTTCCCAATAAAATCCAGTGAAACATCGTTTGGAAAACGTGTTCTTGAATTAGGGGGTATATTTTTCTCCTTCTATCTCCTTTCCATGCTCAAATTCTTCTCCAACATGCCATATACACTTAGTTCATTGATTACTTATCTTTAAAACTTATTTTCATGATGCTATTTCTTCTTTTTTCATCATAGTAAAAGCATAGAGCACATTTTTTAATAGAAACTTCGACAATCTTCCTTTAAGTGCCGCCATTTTCTGTAACATGTACTTTCACTTTCGTTTCTGTCCAGATAATGCGTTCGTGAAAATTTCAATGTCTTCGTAGTCATAGTCATTTGTATATAAACAACAACCAAAATTCTGATTATTTTATTCTCTTTGTATTCAATTAAAAGTCATTTCTAAATAAACAACAAAATTTTTTTTTAATTCAAATAAAAAGGTCAAAGTAAACAGACAAGCAATCTGTCAAAATATTTTTTTTAATTACTGAAAAGAGGTCAATTAGCAGTTCAGCAATTATCCATTGGTATTTCTGCTGACAACTGAGAGGTAATCCAAGCCACTACCCAAGCTGTTAAAACGTTTGTAGTGGAGTTCAAAATTTGTCCAAATTATGTTTGATACCCAAGCTGTTAATTTACGGAGTCTATTTGCAAACGAAATTACACATTATGTGTACCTGTGTACAGCATACATGCATAATATTAAATATAACCTTTTATGTATTAAATTAATATATTAAACTAAGTATGAAATAAAGAATAAAAGATTTTTTATAAAAAATTACATCGATAGATAAAGGAGAAGCTAGGTTTACGAGTAAACTTTAATTGTTTAACAATGACTTTGGCACGTCTCCAAATCTGCTGGGCTCGCTGGAACAGTCCAGGTGGGTTCAATCAAGCGTCACTAATCACCTAACTGCCCTGTTAGTTAACACTCTCTCAGAGCACAGGTGTTCCAATGTTTATTTAGCGTCTCCTTAAGTGGCTATCAGCAATCAACACTGAATAAACAGGGAGGGGAAAAAAATTTGACAGAATTTTAACATCGTATTACTGAGACCTGGCGATTTTGGACAACGTAATAAACGGTTCTTTTTTGTATAGATTTATTAAGAAACGGTTTTGTGCTTTGAATTTACAACGTAATAAGCGTTCTATCGTATAAAACCGTCACCGTAATAGCGAGTCTCTACTGTATTTGACGGGCGTATCATGCTGTGGCGGGGCACTTTATTTTTCAGTCCATTACGAATATATGTATTTAAATTGGTCGATTATTTTATTCTATCGCAAAATTTACCTTTTTCATATTTGCGTACATGTGTAAAAGTCAAGTAGTATGTGATACATTGATCATTGGATTTATTAGTTACGCGTATCAATCCGAGTCATGCATTCTGAGATTGTTGCAATTTAGTACAAAATACTGATGAAAAATAGAGCCCTCTCTCTATGCATATATTCGAGTGAAATGGTAAAGAGGGAAGGCTGGGGGAGACGTGTGCATTTACTATCAATTTTTTTTCGATTGAAGTTCAATTTATTTTTGTTTTAACAAATTTTGTATGTATAGTATAGTTAATACCGAAGGACAGAATATGAAGCGTAAATCTAAATACACACGCACTTCCTGATTCCTAGAGAGGGGCCTGGCAGATTTAGGAAATGAATAGTTTTTTCTCGAAAAATGATTTGAAATAATAATCTATTTTCGACCAGCAAGAAAATAAATAATCTGTCCTTGGCTAGTACTTTGCCCCCCCCCCCCCCCCCCCCCCCCACACACACACACACACACACTCGAAATAGAGTTTCCCTTTTTTCTTTGGCAAGTCAAACTTTTTTTTCAGATGAAAAAAAAGAAGAAAATAAGTCCACCTCTGACTTACATACGGAAATTTCACCAGCCATTTCCAGGGCGTCCCTTTACTCACACAGTGTATGTAGTCATTTTCTCAGTGTGTATATATTATATATAGGCAGCTGCTGTAACAAGGATCAATCGTTTCTAGCTCTGTTTTTCTTTCACTTGTGTTAATGCAATATAAATATTCCATTTCATGTATGAATTGGTGATAAGTATTTTGGAAGCCGTTTTCTCTAAACGTCGTATTATATTAAGGAATAGCGCATTAGATCGGGGGAAAATAAATTGAATCGCATAATTATTTAACATTGTCTTAGTATGTAATAAAGCTGTCCCAAAGTTGCTGAAATCGCACCTGTTTCTTTTCTAAATCCCCCTCTCCCATATATGGAGGGTGTTTATGTTTGCAAAATCTCTGCGTACGTAGTGCTCAGTATTGTGTTCCCTGTTAAGGGTATACATGTACTTACTGCAATCTCAGTTTTAAAAAGGATTGCGAAAATGTGTTTTGGGGTACTCTTTAAGTAATGCACAATATCTAAAAATTCTGCAGCAGTATGTTGTATATGAGCTATCAGAATGGGTTAAATATTTTATACTGATAATTAAAAAAATTCAGAGTGCAAAATTACATTGTAACGAAAATACCAGATCATATTTTAAACATCAATGATACAATATAGTGAAATACATGTATGCAGCCACTGAAACGTTTCAGAGAGAGAGAGAGAAAGAGAGAGAGAAACTATCATGTGTATTTTTTCTATGTACAAGTTCTAATTTAATATTTTGACATAATTATTGACAATTATGAATGCTTCTCTTCTCGACAGAAATATTCATTAATGTATGGATACTAAAGTACATATTATACTGATATAATACGTATGTTGGGGTATACATATAGAAAAAAAAATCTATGTATACTTGTATTTAGCTCTAAAGTCCTTCACTTCAGGGTTTAATACATAAACGGAATATTTTTTTGTCACAGAAAAATCATTTTTTTTATCAGCAGTGATTTGAAACAATCAAAATGCTATACCATCCAAGAATGACCAGGACGAATACGTAAAAATCCAGCAATTTATATTGAACATGAACATGTACATCATTTTATATTGCATGTATACAGTGGCATATACACAAATGGCTATAAAATAAAATTATCACCTCGGCTACAATTCATTATGGACTCTAAAAAATGCATATACTATAAATAATGCTCTTTTCAACTGTTTAATGAGATTTGTGCAGGAAATATTCGACAAAAGGACGACTGGACTTTTGTAAACCCGTTTTTAACGTCAGCGATGTGCATTGCAGTTGACCGACTTTAGCATGGGAGAGACACGATCTGGGCTACTTCCTTTGATATGGCGAGAATGTGACGTAGTATTTAAACTTCTCGACAAGCAAAGCGTCAGCACGTCACAAACAGTGTAATCCGTTAGGTCTATTGCAACCAGCTATAACTTCAGCATCTCAAATGCCATGTCAAATACCATGGATATGTTGAAGTGATTTGAAAGTCCCAACGACTTGATCTTATAAAATTTTACCTTTGATGTTTTGAATCCTTGGATATGAAAGGTTTTTTCCTTGGTTGCATCAAGTTTGAGATAGCAGAGTTTGACTGTATTTTAAGATTCAATATCACAAATATTATTAATTTTATCTTGCTTTACAAAATGATAAAAGTGAGTTGATCAAATATTTTATTCAGTAGTTTATGTTGTTGTTTAATTGCTTGGAATCTTTTAAACTCATGAAAGAAAATAGACAGTAAAACAAGGTAAGATTTCTAAGATGTTTGAACATTCATTATAGTTGCAACAAGAGGCAGTATACTCTACTTTCTGATTTGTGATATGAGTGTGGTGAACAGAATGTATCAGACTTCATTAAAGCAGTTCTTGGGACTGTTTGATATATCAATGTCAAGGTAAGTGTTTCTAAATATTACATTTCAGTAATCATAGGATTAAAATAGTTTTAAGAGGTTTTATTTTTAACCCCCTTGAAAAAAGAGACATTGGTTTACACTTTTCGGAATGTCAGTCGGTAGACCAAGTATTGTCCACTCCAGATCTTGAGAATACTTTGCTTGAGAGACATCAAACCTGGTACTTTTGCAGTCTCTGAAAAGTAGATTACCTCTTCTGGCCCCGGGATCATGAAACAGACTTAGACTTAAGTCAAAATTTCAATTATCTATAAAATTTTTAAAACTTTTTAAAGGAAACATAACTGTGCACTTAGTTCATACAACAGCAGGCTGATGATACAAAATCGGAAGGCAATTTCATTTTGGGCTGCTTGACCTCTAAAAAATTTCAGCATCTAAGGCATTTTTTGACTTAAGCTTAAGATGCTTCATGATCCCGGGGCCTGATTTGTGGTCACTAGGTCAAGGGTCAAATACCATGATACTCAAAACACATACTTCTTTTTATAGTAAGTCTTGCCATTCCCAGATTATATCTCAATGCTGGGTTGTGTTTCTAACTAAATAAGGTTTTTTGAACTTTGTGGAGGGGACGGTGGATTATTGCTCCTGAATTCCATGTTTCTGGAACTTGAAAGTGCAGGAAATCCAGAGCTGCTTCCACCACTCAATGGAGGAGCAGTCAGGGTTTTGAATGTTGTTCCTTGTCATATCCCTGCAACTTAATGAATGGGAATTCAAAGTATCGCTTCCCAAGTTTTTCCTTGATTCAAATGGCTGCATGTACATCCCTGTCCTAGATGGGTAAGAGAGTTGTTTTGAAAGTTGCAATCTCTCACCTTTCTATAAAACACTGACCCCTTCATTTTGTCAAAGTTTTCTCCTCAATACGGTCCTCGATTACTGGATTAGTTTATCATTTTGAACAGGTCACTCTGAGTTTAATAAATTTAGGTTTGGCATTGTAAATTGTTATATCGTGGGAAATTAAGGCATGTTTTGGTAATATGAGAAAGAAAAGATAACTCTCATTCAAAGAAGTGGAATCACTGCAGACCTCTTATTCCTGACCAATCTTTGTGTTCATGACAATGCTTAGAATCACTACAGACTTCTTGGTCAATCTTTGTGTTCATAGCAATGCTTAGAATCACTACAGACTTCTTGGTCAATCTTTGTGTTCATGGCAATGCTTAGAATCACTACAGACCTCTTGACCAATCTTAGTGTTCATGGCTATGCTTAGAATCACTACAGACCTCTTGGTCAATCTTTGTGTTCATGGCAATGTTTAGAATCACTACAGACCTCTTGGCCAATCTTTGTGTTCATTGCTATGCTTAGAATCACTGCAGACCTCTTGACCAATCTTTGTGTTCATGGCAATGCTTAGAATCACTGCAGATGTCTTGGTCTTCACCAATCTTTGTGTTCATAGCTATGCTTAGAATCACTGCAGACATCTTGGTCTTCACCAATCTTTGTGTTCATGGCTATGCTTAGAATCAGTGCAGACCTCTTGATCTTGGCCAACCTTTTTGTTCAATAAGACATCCTGGACTTTCATAATAAGGCTACTACTTTTAGAGTCTTATATTCTATCCCTGTGATTTTGACCTCATTCCAGAGTCATGACATATCCTAACAGGCTGGCCTTAAAATATCCTTATTTCCATTGTAGATGTTTCACACAGGAACTCCATATGTTCTTTATAACTGTTTATTAACTTTCATCGCAAACATAAATAAACAAGTCAACATTTGATGCACAAAACTGTGTTGGTCCCTTTATCAACATACACACAACATTTTGTTAGGGTCTCATGAGTGGTGGGAGATAGCTCAGTATAAAGTTCTAGGTATCTATAGCCATAATGGGATTTAAAGGGGAATAACTCTTATAACAAAGAGTGCTGTATCAGGAGTAAAAAATGTGGAGAGCAATAATAATTTAAGAAAAATTCCCACATTTCCTTAGAAACTGATTATTGGTAATAGTTGTCTTTTCTAATAAGTTGGCAATCATTATCAAGTGCTAGCTATGTTATCCTTAAAGCCCGAAGGGCTTTAGTCACACTAACATCTAACAACATCCAAGAGAGGATCATGTCACATCCCAATAACACTATTCATAATATATACTGTAACACCCTTAAAATACTTATTTCCATTTAGATTTTCACACAGGAACTTATTCATACTGTTTATTAACTTTCATCGCAAACATAATAAACAAGTGACATTTGATGTGACAAAACTGCATTATTTCCCCTTATCAACATACACACAACATTTCGGCTCATGTGATGTAATCCACTACTATAGCCAAAATGGGATTTAAAGGGGAATAACCCTATAACAAAGAGAAATGTATCAACGTTTAAAAACATCTATGAGAGCAATAATAATTTACATTATAAGAGATTGTCAGTATTTATATAAAGGAAAACATTTGCATATGTCAATATTCTGATTGTCAGGAAATTTACTTGTCAGGAATTATGGGTGTCAGGAAATATGTTGTCAGGAAATCTGGGTGTCAGGAATTTATAAAATGTCAGGATTCTGGGTTGCCAAGTTATGAAAACAATCTTTATGCTGAATAATAATTAGAACTTGTCTTTATAAAAATTATGATCTTGGTTTTCAGAATTCATCATACCTAATAAGATAACAATTAGTCAAGTGCTCAGTGGAGCTATCTGACAAAACTGAGAAGTTGGCTCACTTATATAGCTTTTGCATCTAGAAACTAACCAATCAAAATGCTTCATTTTCCTGACAATCCTGACAGGCATAAATTATTATAATTCTAACAATTAAAAACAATCATATATTACTAAATTATCCTATTAGCTATATATTCTCTATACACAATAAAATGAATGCATTACTTACTTAATAAATCAAGAATTAAACAATTCTTAACAAAGAACTATCTCTTGTGGTGTAACTATAGTAGACATCAGTAATTAGGTAATATTCTTGAGCAAAATAAATAGTGCTAAATGACAACAATCATAAATAGAGAGATCAAATCTTCAGGTATCTTTTAAATAGTTCAAGTTATAAAAACTATAATTTAACTGTAATTTAATAGGAATCTACTTGTACTAGCTTTACATTATAACAAATCCAAATTATTGCGCCAAGTGAACTATTTGATGATGTCATACAATGGCGGCCTACATGCACTGACAGTAGATGTCATGTCATAACAAATACAGTGTGGATTACTTAATAACATCACTGAAACTCCTGTAAAATAATAATCAAAATACATAGTAGATTCTTATTTTCATTGACAATAAAATCTTAAACAATTTAAGAACATAGCCTTGTCAGGTAAATAATAATCAAAATACATAAGCATATAACAGAAAAACATGTGGGACCAACACAATGGTAAATCTATAAACAAAACAAACATGGCATGATTCACGGAATATTCCGAGAAATATATTGACTTGACTAGAACTTTTACAAATAAAATCTACCCCCCTTTATCTAATAAAGTAATGAATATTACACTCCCCCCACCTTAAATCCACAATTCTCCTGAATTTACAATCAAATATTAATTTACTAGTTTTGGAAGTCTAAGTTTCACATGACATTCATCAAGTCTTTCTATGATCCAGTCCATAGATGTATCACGGCAAGTAGTACAGTGCTCTAACATCTCCAATAACTTCTCTTGTTGTCTGTTCTTTACACCACAAACGGCGACGTCGCATACGGCCTTATAATTATACAGTCTCATATTTATCTCATTGGCTTGACTCTTGGCTAGGATCGGCATTGCTGATCCTGGCAGACACAGGAAGTTAAAACACGAAAGAAGGTAATTTTTATCAACGGCAAAGTCTAAAGCATCTTTAGAAGTAATAATAATTGCTGCCATCTCCCAGGCGTGTAGTCTTTGTTCTGGTGAGAATGTTTCCCATTCAGATGGTGGCCATGATAAGGAAACTGGAGAGTCAATGATGCAGACCTGAGGGACTCCAGTCCACTCTCGCTTGCCTGGTGGGAGGAGAGGCATTACCCCTGTTGACAATAGCCTCATGGCTCTCTGTCTTCCATCAACAGTAGGGTGGGAAGGAGTTGAAATTGGAAATGCCAATAGAATTCCTTGTTGTTGTCCATATGGAAAGGTGTCTGCAATAGCAGGACTATGCATCTTATATGTAAAAAGATCTAAATCCAGTTTCTCCTCACTGTTTTCCTCTTTCCTCATTTCTACATCACAACTCTCTTTCTGTCCATTCCTCTCCTCTGTCCTGCTCTGTATTTCACCATCTTTCTCTCCATTCTTCTCCCCTGTACTCTTCACCATATAACTGTCCCCTTTCTCCTTTCTGCTCATCTCCTCTGTCCTGCTCTGTATTTCACTACTCTCTTTCTCTCCGTTCCTTTCCTCTGTCCTATTCACTATATAACTGTCTACCTTCTCCTTTCTGCTCCTCTCCTCTGTCCTGCTCTGTATTTCACCATCTTTCTGTCTGTTCCTCTCCTCTGTTCCTCTTTCACCACTCTCTTTCTCATTCACTATACAACTGTCTCCTTTCTCCTTTCTGCTCCTCTCCTCTGTCCTGCTCTGTATTTCACCACTCTCTTTCTCTCTCCCATGGCATATTCACTATACAACTGTCTCCTTTCTCCTTTCTGCTCCTCTCCTCTGTCCTGTTCTGTATTTCACCAATATCTTTCTGTCCATTCATCTCCCCTGTACTATTCTTTATATAGCTGTTCTCCTTCTTTCTACTCTTTTCCTCTGTCCTGCTCTTTACATTACTATTGTCTTCCTTCCGGTTCTTCTCTTCTGTCCTGTTTTTTACGTCACTGTTCTCTTCCTTGCTGTTCTTGTCCTTTTTGCTCTCCCCCATTTCACTATTCTTTTCCTCCTTCCTTACATTCCTCTCTTTATCATTCGTTTCTGGATCTCGACTGCTGGCCGTATAAGTAAATGTCGCTTGAACCCCCTTTTTTACTGATAT